ACTGAGCTTTGCGCGACTTGTGACCCGCGCATAGGGGGAGACAAGGGGAATAGCGATAGGCGGAGCAAGTTGAAAATCAGATTAAATGTGCAGATTTGGCCGAGCTCTGACGTATGAACTAACGTCTTCCCTTCGGAGCCCACTACATCATAAGGGCAGCTTAATTAAGCAATTCGGATACAGACTGTCTATAAGGGAAAGCAAGTCAACACTTGTCAACCTGAAGTGTACCGGCGATCTCCATCGGAGCCGAAGATCTCGGAACTTGAAAGACCGCCAAGAGAAGGCCTTGCCAATTCGAAACAATAAGTGAACATATATTTAAAGTAAATAATAATTAATTTTCTGACTCGTACGGCCTATAAAATGAAAAATTAAACAATTAAAAATAAATAAATTAATAATATATATATATATATATATAATTAATATAATTAATATATAATTAATAATATATATATATATATATATATATATAATGACACAAATAAATATTGGACCATCCGAAAATTCCTGAAAATATCTGCTATCTATCAAGTTTGTGACTAGTTTGCATGGCAGAGCATAGGCCAAGATTGATAGATGAGGTTTCGTTTGAAAGAAGATTTGCTCTTTTAAGTCCGGGTTTAGAATTGATAAACAGAGCAGGCGATATTGGATCGATGTTGCGTGATCGCGAAGATGGACGGATCGATGGATTGACGGGCAGATAAAAGCTTCATTTACACAACTTTATGTTGTTTTGTTTTTGGAAAAGAAACATCGCGGTCGAGATTATCCATAAAATTTGTGACGTTTACGAGAAAGACATTATATAAAATTAAACTCTTATTCGATGGTTTGTGCGATTTCATAATGGTGATTTCCAACTCAAAGATGCTCTACAGTCACGAAAACTTCCCACGCCACTCGAGAACTATCTTAAACAAGCAGTAGATAAAAACTTTCTTAGAGTGTACCAAAATTCTCACAGGACAGGATTATCCACTTTGGCCTCTTTACAGAGAATTCACGATTGATTCTGAAAATATTGCGATCAATTTGTTGATCTGAAGAAAGCCCTTGCTACAAACTGATGATTAAGAAAGGCATCGTCTTTCAGCATGATAACTTAAGGGTACATGTTTCATTGGCGGTCTGCAGAAGACTCATTGAGTATAAATAAAACGTTTTGTCCCATTCTCAAAATTCACCAGACATTGCCCCTTCAATCATTTGTTCCAGGCATTGCAGTACTCCTTGAGGGATAAAGAGTTCAATTCGTTGGAAGAGGTTAAAAACTACCTGACTATATTCTTCGAAGGAAAGCTCAAGTTATTTTACGAGCACGGAATTTTCTTTTTATTAAAGAGATGGCAAAAAGTGATAGAAATCAAAATGGACAAAACATCATGGATCCATTGTTAAGGGGACAGAGAAATAAAATATTCTTAAAATTTCTCGGATAGTTTAATATGGGGTGCGCAGAATACGAACAAAATTGAATTTGAATTTTCACTATACTAAAATCCAGCAGGTGCAATTTGGCGCTAAGGTAGACCAGGTATATTAGTAAGAAGTCTACAATCTCGAAATGACCAAATTTGTCAGATTATGCCCGGAATATAACCGAAAGGAAGCAATTATAAATGTCTTTGCGTCGGGAAAACACCGAACGAAATAATGAAATTTTTTGGGTACGTCAGATATTTGGATACTTGACAGTATGATGTTGCCCACAGATATACGACTTCAGAGGAGACCGAGGAGGGCTCTTCCATTCTTCCGACGACCCAAGTAAGGAAGAAGGCGACAAGAATTCCGTAACAGACGTCATGTAATTGCACTTCTTCCAGAAAAGAGAATCTATTATAAAGGAGGAAATACCGAAGTCGGTGGTGATGTCTAAAAGAGTCGCGAACGCGTAAAATACTAGGGTGGATCAAATATAAAAGAGCCGTTTTAAATTGCGTGTCGGTCGGCGGCGTGAGGGGTCTGCAATGTTTTGGGCAGTGGAAGGGGGTCATGTGGAAAGCAGTAACGTTGGGGCGCCACGTGCTTCTTACTCTCAGTAGCAATCACGATGAGCGAGAAAGAGGTACACCCTGCAGTTGCACAACGTGTTATTATTAAGTTCCTCGTCAACGATAATATAAATGCTGCTGAAATTCAGCGCCGTTTACTTCCACAGTTCGGGGAAAGAACCCTTTCATAGGCTCGGGTGAAGCTGTGCTGTAACGAATTTAAGAAAGGAGGAGAGCGTCTTGAAAACATTGCCTACCCGTGCCGTCCCTGCACCAGCATCACAGCGCAGAACACCGAGGCTGTTCGAGAACTCATTGAAGGCGATTGGCACTTAACTGTTCTTGAAATCTCTCAGAAACTTAAGATCAATTATGGAAGTGTGCAATCAATCATTCGCAATGAGTTGGGATTTCGAAAAATGTCGGCTCGTTGGGTTCCAAAGTTCCTTAATGCAGAGCAGAAAGCCGTGCGGTTTGAAATTTCTCGGAGGCTCGTAACGAGGTACGAGGAAGAAGATGACGCTTTTTTGGAAAAAAACCGTAAAGTGCAATGAAATTGGGTCCATCATTATATCTTTGAAGAGGGCCAGTACGGAGTGATGGAAGACCGGGGGTGCACCGGTGAAAGTGAAGATGCCGTTGTTTGCAGGGAAGGTCTTGGCTACAGCGTTCTGGGACTTTAAAGGCGTTCTGCTGGTCGATTTTCTTCAAGAACGTCGAAACATTAATGCTGCCTATTATTGTGATCTTCTTAGCCAAGTTCGAGTTGCCTATTGGTCAAAAAGGAGCGGCATTCCGATCAGAAGTGTGTTGCTTCTCCATGACAACACCAGACCACATACCACAGCAGTAACACGACAATAATTTGCCCATATGCACTGGGCTGTCCTAAAAGATCCACCCTACAGTTCAGACTTGTCACCTGGTTTCCATATGTTTAGGCCACTCACGGAAGCCCTTGCTAGAAAGCGCTTCGTAACGAACGAGGAGGTGCAGCAATTCGTGTGCAATTGGTTTGATACACGTCCGCGAACTTTTTATGATCCCGGGATTAGAAAATTACCAGGTCGTTGGAGGAAATGTATAGATAAGATTTGGGATTATGTAGAAAAATAAGAAAAATATAAATTAGAATTAATTTTGAAAAATATATGATTTTTTTGTAAAAGGCTCGGTTATATTTAATCCAACCTCGCATGATGTAGATCTAGTTAATGTCAGAGAGCCTCTCCTATTCAATTCCTACTCTCACCAACAAATGGTAGATCTTGTTATCTGATTAACCCTATAAGAATCCGAATAACCAATACCGAGGCAATATAAAATCAGATATTGACGAGAGAGGAAGGAATATATCTTCGAAAAAGGGAATCGGTTTGAGGCCAATAACCCCACTCCATTAAAAAATTCACCGTTGCAAAGCCACAAAGCAGAAGCCTCGGATGGGACGGACAAGTACAGAAACGATCTGGCTTTTCAAAGATCAAGGATTGGAAATTTGCTACGTGGAATGTCAGAGCGCTCCTCAGAAAAGACAAAGCGCTGGCAAGAAAACTGAAAAAATACAAGGTAGATGTAACAATATGGAGGTGAGATTGATGGGAAAAGACATCCTGAATCCGAGGGAATGTATTATCTACTACAGCTTCAACGATAAGCAGGGCAACCTGGGAACTGCATTCCTAATAAATAAAAAATAATAATAATAAATAAAAATAAGGAAATATAGATCGTCATCATTAATTTCACTTTAATTAGTGGAAGACTATGCAGTATTCGAATAAGAGGCAGATTTAGGATGTATAGCATATTGAACGGACATGCGCTTACAGAAAGAAATACGAGGAAGAAAAAGATTGTTTCTATGAGGTACTAGAAAGAGCGTATGAGAAGTGTTTTAAATATGACATAAGAACGCTGATGAGGGATATAAATGCCAAAATATGCAAAAAGAACATATACCAAAGGACAATCGGTAAACATGGCCTGCAAATAGAAAACAATAGCAATGGAAAAAGACTAATCAATTTTCCTGCATCAAAAACATGGTCATAGCTAAAACCTCTTTTTCACATAAGGATATTCACAAGTACAGGGTGTTGCTGGGATACAATATAGTGAACCAGATTGATCACATAATAATGGAGGCTAAGCTGAAAGTGAAGATTAGATCGAGGATCACTACAATGAAAGAACAGAAGAAAACAAGTCAAAGGGGGTACGAAACGTACCGACTGGGGTCTGCGGAGTGTAAAGAAGAATATTGTCGTGCAATTGATAAAAAATTTGATATATCACAGATACAATAGAATTAAGAGAACACGGAGTGGATATGATAAATGATAAATGCAAAAACGCTATACGCAAGAAAGCCGAGGAAACAGTAGGAAAGAGAATGAAGCAATTGATGTGAAGCAAAGAGAGCTGATTTAATGAAGAGTGTGGAAAGATAACAAACGAAAAGAACATAGTAAACAAAAAGAACACACAAACGAATATTAACAAGGAATATAAAAGCGTACAAGCAAGATTATGAAAAAAAAGAAGAAATGAGAAACGAACGCATAGGAGAAGGAAGCGAGAGATGAATGTGAGAGAATGAGAGGAAAATGAGAGAATAAAAGAAATGAAGAAACACAGCCTAACTAATAAATTTAGAAAGTTATATACAACAGTTAACAATATGAGAAAATGCTTTTGCCCGAAGACGATAGCCTGCCGCACAAAAGAAAGAAAATTGATAACGGACGGAAGAAGGAAAATGGAAAGATGGAGAGAGTTTTTCTCGGATCACCTTAATAATAACAACAAAGTAATAACGAGGAAGAAAGAGGTGTAAGGCAACCAAGGGAACAGAAATGAATAATGGAAGACCACGAAATAGAACCTCCAATATGAATGGAAATAGCTATAGCCGTCAAGATGTTGAAAAATAATCGAGCTCTTGGTGCAAAAATCTGTCAGGAGGGTTATTTAAGGGGTTATACCACAGTAGAGAGCGAAAATTTAACGTTTTTTTGCGATTTTTTTTTAAGTGGAAGGAAAAGTAAAAGGGTAATTCTTTTTAAGGATGTTGTTAAGCATGTTTTGAAGTTTAAAAAAAAATTTTGTTTATTAAAAAATATTACAAAATGGCTGCCCAACAGCCGTTTCTGCGGAACGGTTTTTTTTGGAGGGGCTCCGCGGCACGCAGTAGAAGTGCAGCAAAAATTAATCTGGAACAAAATAAAAAATTTTTTCTTAAGCTACATTAGTATAGCTATAGAAATACGTAGGGGATTTTGAAAATATTCATTTTTGTTAAATTGGCGAGCATTTGAAAAAAAAAAGTTCATTTTACTACCAAAAAAACGGGCACTTATTTGTACCTAAAAAATCAAAATATTAACTTATCGAAAATCGGCTACGTATTTCTATGCGGAATGTTGTTTTAAAGATGTGATATTAATTTGGAGTGAAAAAATAGAAAATTGTTTGAGTTATGCTGCGTGCCGATTTGAAAAAACGTGTTTCGAGAAAAACGCGTTTAAAGTTTTGACTCGTGTTTCAAACATAATAAAATAAAAATTTGGATTATTAAAAATTTTTTACCTTTAATCTGCTATTCCAGCACCGTAAAGCTGACCTTCCAGGTTGCTAAACTCCTCCTCGTTTTCTTTCCTGGACGCTTTTATGCTGGAGCGAGCCTCTTTCGCTGCGTCCGTCAAAGAGCGGTCCGCGCGTTGTATTCGAGCAGCGTCCGTCTCTAAGCAAAAGTTGTAGGATTGTGGTCCAATGTTCATGTCCATCACTTTCATTATTCTTAAAACGTTTATCAGTCCATCATTAAAATTACAAACAGCAATGTCACTTGCTATTTGTAATATTTTCTTTCCGCTTGAATAATTTTTAGGAGCCAAGTGCCAGACTGTAGAATTAAAACTTTCGTTGCTGTTCTGCGTATAGCCTCCCAAGCAACGATTCAGCAACTCGTCACGGCTCAAATCCTCGTAGATTGGTCTGATGGCTTCAAAAACTTCGTTCGATAGTGCCGGCTTATGATGAAAGGAGTCTAAGGAACCCGTTGCTTGCGCCTTCTTCCATTCGCACCAAGACTCTGAGCATTTTTCGTGCTGTGGATTTTCGTCAGTTGACATTTTATGAAATAATGTCGCCCAGATTTCATTTCTCATATTTTCCAACGAGTTTGAATTCCGTCGAATGGCCAAGCCATAATAAATTGTTAACTGATCAATTAATTTCATAGTTAATTTTCCTTTTCCTCCAAGATTTTTTGTTTTTTTTCTCAAATTTCTCAACCGAGTGCCCATTCGTTTTTGTACATGATCAATACATTCTTTTTTTGACACTTCAAAATTTTCATACGGTTTTGCATCCAATATCCCCTTGAAAGTTTTACTGTCACCATCACCTATATAATTTGCGTATTTAAGTCCGTGTAAAGCTTCGGAACGTTGAAACATCTCGATGACAGCATCTACCTCCATTTTACCCGATGAGCCTTCATGGTTCGACTGACATTGATCGGCATGAGTTTCGAGCCATTCTTCATACTCAGCAGTATCTAATTTATTTTTCCAGTGCTCGCAAGCTTTACAGTATTTCGATTTCACTTCAATGTCAACAATTTTCCCTGTAAACCATCCGATCAATGATGTGATCCCGAAAAGAGACGAAAATCCTCGTTTCCTCCAGGAACCATCACCAGATACAGTTATTCCTGTATGCAATCCATTTTCTTCACTTTTCTTCTTCTCATCTTCTGCTGCCTTTTTTATACTACAGTCTCGCACGGCTTTCGTTGCGATCAAAATCATATTTACTGCACGGTCGTAACAACTTTGAAATATAGGCCGTGGCAATTCCATAAATGCGCAGAATTTCATTATTCCAGCTAGCCCTACTCCTAATAGTCGCATTGTTAGTACAATCCTACGGTTAATTTCATATCCATTTCGTATGAATGGACAACTCGGGATTTCAACTTTTGGACAATTCGGGCAACAGACGGTTATTTTGAAGCCTAAACCCCGCGTACCTGATTCGAGAAATCGTATATCAGAGTTGCACGTTTTGCACTTCACATATTCCGAAATGGCAGAGAAAACGGCAAAAAAGTTTATAATTCGGTAACCAAATTCACTTTGTATATCGATATCGTCAGTATCCACTTTCAATTTCTTTGCCGAAGCGCTGACACCGGCCGAATCTTCCTCCGCTTCATATCTGTTCGACGGTCGTCGTTTCGTCACGTTGCTCCGTCGCCGCGTCTGATACGATATTTTTGAGCCTTTATGGCTTGCATACACTTTCTTTTCACTCATTGTAACTCACATAAATGTCAAGGCTACAAATAACGTGTGAAAAATTAGCACTGCAAAAGAAAATCGTGATTTCGAATAACTTCCACGCAAAATTTACGTCTCCTCTCAACATCAAAGGACGCTGTACTAACGTACTTTGTGTTCAAAATGCTTGAAAATGTTTCTAACGACATCTATTAGTGTATTAGAGAAGTTAGAAATCGAATGGTAAGACATAATGCTGTACCCGACAAGCAGGTGTCGTATTTACCGCAGGTAGTCGTTTCGGAGCAGTCGGGAGGGGTCGAGAAAGAGCTCGAAATTTCAATGAAAACGATTTCTGGCAGATATAAAACCGTTTGTCTCTTATTCTAGAGGGTTCAAAGGATTTTTTAAGCCAATAAAAAAAGAATCGATTTTTTGGAATTTCTACTGTGGTGTAACCCCTTAAAGTAGTAAGTGCAGAAGTAAAAAAGTAAATGGGGAGCCTATTGAACGAAGTATGGAACAAAGAACGTATGCCTGTGGAATGGAAAATGGGCGTCATATGCCCGATAAATAACAAAGGTGATAAAATAATTTATGTGTTTTATTTATAGAGCAATCACTTTTCCGTATAAAATACTGTCAAATATCGTCTTTAAAACGATGCAATTTCAAAGCGAAGTATTATTAGAAGACTACTAATGTGGTTTCATACATAACAGGTCAATTACGAACCAAATCTGCAATATTAGACAGTGTCCACCGAAAGTCGCGTTTGCGTCGGTGGAGGTACTGTTCCCGGCACTCGTCCTTAAGCGGCAGCGGATCCGCCTAAACTAGCTAAATTTTTATGTATCTTTATCTCGAGTCGAATCCTTCGCGATTCCGCGTAGAGCGTCGTGGTTGTTTCGCATCCTCCTCGATACTCGCGGACTATTCGGAGGGGAGCCGGGAGNATACGAGTACCGGGACAGGTAATGACTTTGAGAGACCGATTAATAACAGAATTACAACATTTTAATGCTACTCGAAGTGTTACAGATGATGTCTTTCTTCTACAGCTTAGTTATCATATGGTGTGACATTGAAATAACGCTTTTAATTAGCCTGTCCTTCGCGAACAGGCAGCTTACTTCCGTACTACGGGAGATCCTGTAAGCGATCAAAAGAGTCATCTCGCTTGCGATATCGGCGAAATGCTTTCTAGGTGGCGGATCTGAACCGCTCGACGGCAGCTATAATGCGCGCGTCGTGATAACGAACTCTTTTGCCCGGCGCCGTTACACGAATCTCTCCGGGTTTTTTTTTGTTGGGCGCCAGCCGGGTCTTTCCCGACAGTAGTTCCTGCTCCCGTCCGAGTCGGTACCCTCGGACGTACCCGTTTGCCGGAAGTAGTCCCTACGTACCACTGTATTTATTCTAACGCGTAAGCCCCGATACATGCATCCGGGACCCCTAATCTATGACGAATGTGCGACCGGCGACTTGAGGAGGCGACCGAGTCTCGCGCGCGATTCTCCGGGATCCTTACGCAAGACACGCCCTCGAGCTCGACCCTTGTCGTCCGGCGACATAGCCCTAATTCTCGTATATCCGGGCGCCCCGAACCTTCAACGAATCTATGTACAGGATCTCCCGTGGTACGGAAGTAAGCTGCCTGTTCGCGAAGGACAGGCTAATTAAAAGCGTTATTTCAATGTCACATCATATGATAACTAAGCTGTAGAAGAAAGACATCATCTGTAACACTTCGAGTAGCATTAAAATGTTGTAATTCTGTTATTAATCGGTCTCTCAAAGTCATTACCTGTCCCGGTACTCGTATCGTGCTGCGGCCATCGGGAAGCGACGATTCACAACTCGGGGTGAATTCTTCTTCTTTCAACTCTACTTTTCTATCCGCAGCTGTACATAATTTCGCTCACCCGTTCACCACCGGCAGCTCGCCTCTCCTCTCCTGGATCTCGTCCTTAGGACACGGCAGCTCGTTCCGTCGCTCGCACGCTCGCTCGCTCGCTATCACATCTAATTCGTTCGCCATCGAGCCGCACAGTGACGAGCAAGACTCGTCACGTTACGGAGGAGGCAGCCGCCACAAGGATATATCACACCGCGCGATGCGACCCCCGATTGGTCCGGTCGGCTAAATCACGCGTCTCAAGGATGTTCGCGGGACCACGCGTCTGTTGTTGCTCTCCCGACGCGTGTTTATGCTTGTTCTTTCTCCGAGACAGCATTCGGCAACTATTAGGTTCGCAGTAGTTTACAGGGCTCTCGGGCGCGCTTTCCACGGTGTCATTCTCTGCCCGCTCTGCGACCGGGTCGCGGGACCTTGCGCCTTTCTTAACGCAAGGTGGCCATCCCGCTCTCTGTCGCCGACCATCCGTCCGGGCGAAAGTCTGCCCGTCCCTCCGCGTGTTGTTCTGGCCGTTCATTCTGGGCCCTTGCTCTCGTTCGTCCTTGACTTCCGCGGGCAGCTCCATTCCCAGGCTGTCTGCTTGTCGTGCGATGTTCTAGCTTACGGGTGTTCTTACACTAAAAAAAAAAGATATACTAGCCGCGTGTTGCGTCTCGTGCGCAAACGGCGCACGGGACCAAAAATCTGTAACTCGGTCGCCCTCTTTTACGAGAAGGCGAGAACCTCCGCCTCCTCTTCGGCCAGGCCACAGCCTGAGTGCCGAGCGAAAATTTGTATCGTCACAACAGATACTGAAATACTGCCTAAAGTTCAACATAGAAAGCTTCATTTATTTACAGATTTTGAAGCTGCTTAAGATAACATAAACAAGAGAGAAATATTAAAGATACTTAAAGAGCTGGGATACGATTCAAAATTATTAGGCTGGTCAAATGTATGCTTGATGGGGCTAAAGCGCGAGTAAGAAGGAACAAAACATTTGAACCCTTTGACATCCATGAAGGATAACGTCAAGGACATACGAGGTCTGTTCAAAAAGTATCGCGAATTTCGTGTTTTTTCAAAAATTATTTATTTATT